GTGTGTGTGTGTGTGTGTGTGTGTGTGTGTGTGTGTGTGTGTGTGTGTGTGTGTGTGATGTTACTTTGCCATAATACTGCTGAATTGATTGTGTACTATATTGTTAAATGCACACAATGTTGGAGTAAGTTTTCCTTCCTATGCAATCTCCTTTTGTTTATTTAGAAAGGTATACAGGTAACACCTCCTCTAGTTTTATTTGTGACCAAAGCACTAGATAAAGCTTTGTCTTTGTAACTACTGCAGGCCTTTTCTTAGCATTGTGATCTTTCCTTGCTGTCATAGGAGGAACCACATGGGATACTCTGCAGCACACTTAACTATTATATATCCTAATGGGGATAACACAGTGCTAGAGAAAGAAACAGATTCCTATGTAAACATACATTCTTAGTTTTCAAGTAGCTTTTGATCTTAAAAACTTTTTTGTGAAGTTTGGCATGTTCCTCTATCCTTAAGGTATTCACTCCTACAGACCTGAATCCTTCATTTGTTTTTCATATCTTGTATTGTTTTAAAACACACTATTTCTTATTTCTGTGCCAGGCCCTCAAAGACTTCCCCTTTCCCCATTCAGTATCTTCAGTAACCAAGTGAGTGCAATATAAAGGCTTTCTCTTCACCTCTGAGAAAGCCTAGTCATAGCATTAATGTAAATGGCTTTGTGAGAGACTGGTGCTTGGGTAGCAGCCAGTGTACTGTTCTACACCTTTATCTCTTGTACTTCATAATATTAATGAAGTTTGGGGATGCAATTTTTTTCCCTGCTAACTTCTTTGAAAGGAAGACTAGAAAAATACATTTAACTTGTTAAATCCTTAAGAAGGAGCAACTCAGAATAGAAATAATCTTCTTTGATTATATATTTGTGATATTTCTGTTATGTATGGTAGAGGTAGGCAAACATATTACTCTGAAAGCAATGGACACATTTGTGTTCTTTTGTCTATTGTAGTTTGGAGGGTAGTCACGTGAAAACTGAACTTATCTCTTGGTTTGGGTATGATATTTGTTTTTAGGAGTTGCTTTTGATTTTATAATATGGTGTTCCTTTGACAGTAACTTAAATCATGCATACTCTGGGTCCAAAGAAAATTGTATTGTGTTCTTACCTGATTCTCACTTGAATACTTTTGAGATTCAACATAAAGAGAACACCTAAGAATGCCACATGTAATGCAAGAACAGCATGGTTCCCTTGATTATTGCTTGCTGAATGTGGG